GCTGCTCTCTTTCTACTTGTTCCAGTTGTAACATTAATGTTTTGATTTTGACCCTTTCTTTTTTAGATGTGTGCATTTATTACTATAAATTGACCTCTGAGCACTGCTTTTGCTGTGTCCCAAAGGTTCTGGTAGGATACATTTTCATTCTCATTTGATTCTGTGAATTTCTTTATTGCTTCCTCAATTTCTTCTATAACCCAGTAGTTTTTGAGCAACGTGTTGTTCAGTTTCCATGTGTTTGATTTTTTTCCTTGATTTTTCTGTTATTGATTTCTACTTTTATGGCTTTATGGTCAGAAAAGATACTTTGTAATATTTCAATGCTTTGGATTCTGGTAAGGCTTGCTTTATGGCCTAATATGTAGTCTATTCTGGAGAATGTTCCATGTGCATTGGAAAAGAAAGTATATTTGGCTCCTGTTGGATGGAGTGTTCTATATGTCTGTGAGGTCAAGTTGGTTGATGGTGGCATTTAGATCTTCCATGTCTTTATTGAGCTTCTTTCTGGATGTTCTGTCCTTCACTGAAAGTGGTGTGTTGACGTCTGCTACTATTATTGTAGAACTATCTATCTCTCTTTTCAATGCTGTTAGAGTTTGTTTTATGTATTTTGGAGCCCTGTCGTGGGGTCCGTAAATATTTATTATGGTTACGTCCTCCTGGTGTATTGACCTTTTAATCATTATATAGTGTCCTTCCTTATCCTCTGTGGTGAATTTTAAAGTCTATTCTGTCAGAGATCAGTATTGTCAGTCCTGCTCTTTTTTGATTGTTGTTTACTTGATATATATTTTGTCCATCCTTTGAGTTTTAGTTTTTGTGTGTCTTTAAGTCTAAGTTGTGTCTCTTGTAGGCAGCATATAGATGGATCGTGTTTTTTTAAATCCATTCTGTCACTCTCTGTCTCTTTATTGGTGCATTTAGTCCATTTACATTCAACATAATTATTGATAGGTATGAGTTCAGTGCTGTCATTTTGATGTCGTTTTTGTGTCTTGTTGGTAGTTTGTTTCACTTAGTTTTCTGTGCTGAGTTGTTTTTCTTTATTATTGTTATCTTTTTCATTGTTGCTATTGTACTTGCTGAGTCTTTATGTTTTTCTTGTTTTTTATTTTGATGTGTAGGATTGTTAGTTTCCTTTGTGGTTACCTTAATATATGCCCCTATTTTTTAAGTTTCAAACAATCTTTTATTTTCTTGGTATAGCCTTGACATCCTTTCCATATGAAAGATCTATGACTACTTTTTTTAGTCCCTTTTTTTGATTTTAATGTTATTTTTTACATATTGACATCTGTTTTCCTATTTTGAGTGTTTTATCTTTGTTTTTGTGACTTCCCTATCTAGGTTGATATCTGGTTGCTCTCTTCTGTGTTCTAGTCTTGGGTTGTTATCTGATGTTACTGATTTTCTAACCAGACGACTCCCTTTAGTATTTCTTGTAATTTTGGTTTGGTTTTTGCAAATTCCGTAAAATTCTGTTTATCTGGAAATGCCCTAATTTCACCATCATATTTGAGAGACAGTTTTGCTGGCTATATAATTCTTGGCTGGCAATTTTTTTTCCTTCAAGGCTTTATATATATGCCTTCTTACCTGCATGGTTTCTGCTGAGTAGTCAGAGCTTAGTCTTATTGACTTTCCTTTGTAGATGACTTTTCTTTTATCCCTAGCTGTTCTTAAAATTCTCTCTTTATCTTTGGTTTTAGCAAGTTTGATTATAATATGTCTTGGTGACTTTCTTTTGGGATCTACTTTATGTGGGGTTTGATAAGCATCTTGGATAGATATCTTCTCATCTTTCAAGGTATCAGGGAAGTTTTCTGCCAACAAAT